CCTGTCCCAGGAGGGGACCCCGACAGTGCTGCTGGCCCCAGAACCAGTGCCCGGTGCGAGCTGCCCGCCCCAGGACCGGACTCCGAAGGCTATGCAGCCCCAGGACTGAACAGCAGAGTCATGCTGCCCGCCCCAGGACTGGACCTCGACAGCACTTCTCCCCCCTGGACCGGACCCCGGAGGCGCTGCCTGCTCCAGGACTGGTGTCTGCTGTCACGCTGCCCACTCTGGGACCTCACCCCGGTTCCACGCTGCTGGCCCCAGGATGGGACAATGTCGGACCCCCACGGTTCTACTGGCCCTAGGACCACACCCCAATGGCACTGCCCGCTCCAAGACCAGACCACGACAGCGCTACCTGCCCCATGGCCCGACCCCCATGGCTCTGCCGGCCCCGGGACCGGCACGGAGTGCCACACTGCCCGCCAGGGGACTGGACCTCGAGGGTGCTGCAGGCTCCGGGACCACACCCCGTTTCCGTGCAAAGTTTGTTCGTTATTAGGCAGGACATTTTACAGCCTGGGAGATAAAAGTGTTTGTTAGCTGCCTCCCCGAGGGCAGACTCTGTTGCTCTAATGCTCTCAGGATTGCTCTGTTGCTCTAATGCTGTGAGGACAGAACTGGACACAAAATATCTGTGTGGAACTTGAATCCCTTCTTCTTCTAGTGCTTTTAATTACAAAACCATGAAAGCTTATTCTGAAAACATCCATCAAATTAGTTAAGCCTTAATATGCCTGCTGTAGGAAAAACGTTTTGTCATGAAGATAGATTTTCTGTGAGTCATGGTACATGTAATTTTTGGCCATGGATGGATAGAAAAAATAGCTTTTGTAAATACAAACTATAATATTGGTAGCACAAACATTGAGGTATTTGTCTTTTACATTTTTGTAGGTAAACGCCCTGTCCTGACAGGTGTGCTGTCTCTCGTGCAGTGTTTGAAGAATATCTCTAGGAAGATGTACCAGCTGTTACATCAAAGATAAATATATCTTCTGCAAACTTGATTATTTCAGGTATATCATACAGGCATATAATTTTATTAGACAATATGTTGCACTTCTTATTGCTTTTCACTTAAGCCACAACTAGAGTGCACATTTCAGCTCTTTGGTTTAATTTGCCAGGTTTATTTTCAGTAGTCAAACTTGGGAAACCCCAAGTCAATCTGATGTAACTACTTAGACTGCACCACACTCCCCCCCCCGCCTCACACTGGTCCTCAGCCCCTTCCCCTCACACCAATCCTGGCTAACCCCTCACCTGCAAGCTCCATTGGCTGCCCCTTCTTCATTCCCTGCAGACCCCCTAGAGCCCCCTCCCTCAGCTGACACCCCTGCCCTGCTCTATCTCCCCCACCCCTGCTCCCATCACCCCTCCCTGTGCCCTGTCACCCCCTGTGCTAACCCCAGACACCATCCTTGCCCTAGGCCACCTCTGCTCCCCACTCTACAGATATCTCTCCCTCCCAAACTCCCTTGACCCTGCTGCTCCACCCATGGCCATGGCACATGCCCAGGTGTTCATGGTGGTCAAACCAGTAGGGGGTCGACCTGTTGGCATCTCCAATCTCCGCACATATTCCTCACCCAAAATTCCTTTTCACCCGTCTCGCACGCAGGTGCAGCTTGGCAGGCACTGCCAAGCATGAGGTTTCAGCTTTGGGCAGATATCGTGGTTTTGTTGGGAAAAATTTGTCTCTCTCAAAGTATACTCCTCCACAGCAACAGGATGCTGAGGCCAGGAAGTAGTAGTGGCACAGCAGCGAAGTTGAGACATAGTCCAACACAGTCCCTTACAACTATGTCTTTTTCCCTTGCTTAAAACACTCATGCAATGACTCTTCATTAATCCAGCAGCTGTACCTGAACACCAGAATCTAAACTGGACTAGAGAACAGAAAATAGAGCAAGGAAAGTAGACTTAATTTGCATTAATACCTCTACGTATAAGGTGCTTGGTACGATCTGTGAACACCTTCTTGGAAAGGGTCAGAAGTGGACGGGCAGAAACAACAAAAGAAAATCAGAAGGCTTTTGAAGGCAAAACTTTTATAGTTTAGAAAGCTCCTTACAAGGCCAACTGCTTGCAAATAATTTTACTATTGATTAAAATTACTGGGCTTTTTTAAGAAAACAATGTTTTAGAAACATCAGGCTTAGGGAGAAGGTGTGTTTCATAGGAGTCATCAGTTATTAATACAAATGAAAAGGCTGAAACATGAATTACTGCATAGAGCATGTTCTACAGTTGCTTGTGGGAATGAAATTAGTCTGTGCCATTCCCAGAGCAGCACACTGAAATATTGGTACAGAATGAGACGCTCCAACGATTCTTACCCTGCTTCTAAGACCAGCCGCTGCCTGTCAGCTGTAGTTTAACATATCAGCAACAGATGATCTAGATTAAAAAAACCAGTCTCCCGCCACACCACTGCTTGCACGGCGACCCGGAGCCATGGGGCTGGGGCAGCCACAGGGCTGGAGACATTCTCTGGCTGGTGGCCCCCGCCGCATTCCTGGGCAGCTCCAGCGAGCCCAAGGCTCGGCATGGCCACCTCGGCCCCACCAGGCATGCAGAGGGCTTGGTTGCACTCCATTTGTACCGCCGAGCCCACACAACACTGCCACGAGCCCCCGGCCCGTGAGCCCCTCCATGCCGCCCCACGGCAAGGTGCTGCCGGCTGGGCAGGCCGTGCCCGGGACTCAGTGCGCGATGCCAGGAGCTGGACTTGGAACACCCTTCCTCATCCTGCGCCTGCAGGGCGAGAGGCGTCTGTTTAGCCCCTGCTGAATGTCCCCGGGTGCGATTTCAGCCCTGTGAGTGTCTGCGGCACCAGCAGCAGCATCCAGTGACAAGCTACTGAGAATACCCGTCAGTTTAAGGCGTAAAAAAAAAGCCTTTGTGGTGAGACAACAATGTTTTGCCAGTGGCAACACTGTTGGACAGTTTGCTTTTCTCACAGATATTCAGTGTAATATTAGTCCTCTTTTATTTTTTGATGTTGTGCACATCTTGGTTTTCCCTAAGTGCCACCTACCTTTTTTCACTTTGAAGTTACTTACTTACTAGCAAGGGTTAGGAGAGCAGAAATTACCATGAGTAGCATTTCCAAACCCATAAAATTATCCATTTGGATGGTTTTGCATCTTACCAAAACTCCACCTGCTCAGCCTACAGGCGTGCCCGTGTTTTGAAAGCACACAGCTGGTACGTCTTGACAGCCACACCACCAGCAGCACAGCAGGGCTCTGCAGCGGAAACTGCCAAATTCAGCTCAATTCCGTGTCTGGTTCAAGTCCTCCAACCATTTTAGAAATCAGTTGCCTTACAGGAGCCAGATGTGAACAGCGCAGTGTCCCAGGCATGAGTCGGGCTCACGTCACCCTGCAGCCGCGCTGTGCCAAGCAGCTGCCCATGGCATTGCCAGTGTGTCAAAAACTGAGGATTGTACACAGCTCCTTCTGGGCAACTGGTAGCACCAGATTGGGTTCGTGGGAGAATCCCCTGCTTTCTCTGTGCTCCTGTGTTCCTACCTTTCCTAATTTTCATCAAGCCTGGGTATTAGCAGAGTGCGTAGATTGTCGATGTAAGTGGTATTATGAGTCTGATAAGAGGAGGTCGAGGTGTGCGGAGTGCTGAGAAGAAGCGGTGAAGGAATAATAATGGGAAATAAGCAGGGAAAAATTGTAAAAGAAAAGCCCACTGATTGCATACTCACACACTAGAAAGATATAGCCGGGAGGGGAAGTACGGAAAGGAAGAAAATCCTAATTAAATATTGTAACCAGTGGTGGCCACTTTACAAACTAGAAGCAGCAGCTAAATGGCCACTAAATGGGACCTTAGACTATAACACGCTTTTGCAATTAATATTATTTTTACAGAGGGAAGGGAAGTAGGATGAGGTGTCTTACGCAGACATGTTCTTTACCCTCCGAAATCACCCGGGGTGGCAGAGGGACTGTGCACTAGTTCCACCATAAAATCCTTTAGTGTTTGCCCTGGAAAGGAATATAAGGGAGCTACTAGCTACTATTTTTACAAACCTTTGAAATATAAATTGGGAAAGCAGTTAGGCAATACAAGAACTGGTATGAGTCTGCATGCTCCTAAGCAAAGGATTGATTTCCCTAATTGTTAAATTCTTATGCACAAGTGCCATTTATAAGTACTTTAAATAATGAATTGTCAGCTTTCCAGTTCCCTCCAACCACTACTGCACCGTTCATCTGGGCCTTGCCCGGTGCTCCACGTATCCTGCAGCCCGAGCACCTCGGCAGATCGGCTGCCTTGTGGTTACCCACTCACCTGCTCTCCCCCAAGGCCGAGCAGCACTAGTGAAGCTGTCTGCTGCCGCTGCCAACCCACCCGCCCCTCCAGCCCCTCCAGCACGCTCCCAGCGCCGGGGTTCTCTAAAGGTGGTTTCTACCCACAAGGAAAGAGCCCTGGCCCCTGGGAGGGAAGAGCTGGGGCTCGGCCGCAGCCCCAGGGACACGGTGTCCCGATCCGATATCGGGGAAGGGTTCTTAAACAATCCTGAGGGCAAGATTAAGACACAAACGAGGTCAGATGCTGCATAAACTTATAAACTTTATTTTCTATAACAACTAATGAGAGCGATAGGACAGAGAGGAAAAGAAAGGAAAAAGTCGGAATCCCTAAGCAAGAACACGGTAGAGGCGCAACTAATTACCACCGCCACGACCAGGGATCCGGCGATGTTCTGTCGGTCCGATGATGCTCCACGTTCCTGGCTCCAAGTTGGTTCCCCTCTCCAAGTTGGTTTCCCTCTTCTAGTTGGTTTCCCTCTACCAAGGAGTATGCAGTCTGTCCTTTTTATAGTCCCCGTCCCCACAGTTCGTCCACCCATTTCCACGGGGCTCGTTGTTGTAGGTGCCACCCCGTGGTCCTCCGTGCACGCATGCCCGGGTGTCCATGGTGGTCGTGCTGGCAAGGGGCCTATCTGTCAAGCCGTGGTTTCCCCTCCACCCGGCTCACGCGTAGGCACAGCTCGATGGGGGACTGCTGATGTCCTCGTCTAGGGCGGATATGGTTTTCGTCAGGGACTGTGTGTTTCCTTCAAAATGTGCTCTTTTATGCTGAGTCAGGAAGTGGTCGTCATGGAGACAGCGATGTTGAGACATACTAAAAGTCCAAAAAGCTCCTTACACATGGGATGGGGCCGCTTGGGGCTCCTGGGGGGCTGCGGCTCCCGGGCACAGCACGGAGCCCGGCTGGAGCCGGGATCGCGCTCCTGGTTTGCGGAGTGAGAGGATTGTCTGACCGCGCGTGAAGAGGCCGTGCAGATGGCTCCAGCGCTGGCCTGCGTGGGGCAAATCAACACTCCCACCTCGAGCGTCTTCTCTCTGCGCTCAGTGAAGCCACTCAGATGAGCCAGTGTGGCTCAGGACCTGCCCAAGCGCAGCCTCAGGTCTAATCCTGACCCTCCCGGGGACTCCCTGCCAAGGCAGAGCTCTGCGCTTCCCCGTCCGCCGCCGGTCACCCGTAGCCCCTGAACTGCATCACCCACGTGCGCCGGCCAATGGCTTTGGCACAGTCGTGCCCGCAAGCCAGAAGCATTTGCTTTGCAGGGGATCTGCGTGACACAGCTTTAGCAGCACAAATGGAAAGGCAGCCTATGAAATGGAGTTGTGGGTGAAGGGCACCTGGATTTGATGCAAGAAGAGCAACAGTTGTTTGAGAATTGTCTAAGTGTCAGAAAAAGATCAAGTGGAGTTGCTGAGAATTGTTCAAACAAGTTGTTACGGGCAGCATTTGTCAAAAGGCGTAGTAGTGGAGAGAGGGAGAGTTTGGAGAGAGAGAGTGAGAATTTCCAGCAGAAAAATGGGGGAGGAGAAGCAAGGGGCGAGGCGGGAGGGGGAAGCAAGGAAGGAAGTAAGCAGGGAAGGGGTGGGGGAAGCAAAGAGGGGGGGAAGGGGGCACCAAAGCCTCATCGTACCTCTGATCTGCAACTCTGGACACACCATTCTTTGCAGCTGAATGCTCACAGATTCAATCTTTTGGACAAGTGGCACTACAATAGTCTCATTAATCCACTAGGAAAGAAAAAGGTGAAAATTCAAGAGGTCAGAAGTGAGAAAAATGTTTAAAAATCCCCAACCTTTAGCTTACATCCTACTAATCATCACTGTTATGATCACCAAGGAGCTGAAGCCAACCAAGGAGAAAAGGAATTCAATTAGAATATCAAGTTAGGCGGAGTTTCAGTGACTCTCTAGTACTTTCTAAAAGACCAGAAAATTCAGGATAGAAATGGACTAAAAGGTCTAAAAAAACCTAACAGGTCTAAAAGACCAGAAAATTCAAATAAAGGAGTCAGGACAACACATCTCTAGAAAGCATCAGATAAAGCTTTCTTTCTGCAGCTTTTCTGAACCGTGAGGGAAGGGATATTAGGAACACAGCCCTCCACCCATAAAGGGAATTTATACTTTGATGAGGCCACTCTACGGCGGGCGGAGGAAGCAAGCAGCCGATTCAACGTGAATGATAGAGCAAGCTTCAACTTTATTGACAGAAACCACCCCTTATATAAGCAATCTACAATACACTACTTGCAAATCTATTGGATACATTTAAAAAGTTACATTATAATATCTCAGCCATTGGGTACATCTAAAAGGTCACATTATAATATCCCAGCCCCTTGTGGTATTTCTGGTATGCATAAACACTTTTCTTCCTTTGAACCTGTTTTCCTCCCAGGGCTGTTTTTCTATCACCCCCAAGGTCATAATGTGCCCCAACTTATCTCTTTGTTCTCACAACAATCTTTGTTAGCATTGCTGAACCTTGAATCTCCTTCCTTGTTAGCATAACTGTACCCTGGGTTTTTTCCTCTGTTTACCTCAGGCGGCTGTGACCGACTCCTGCAGGGAGCTATGGCCTTGTTCTGCAAGCCATTGTCCAACACCACTCTCTGTCACATTAGTCTGGAGAAATCAAGAAGCTGAAAAACACTCCGTGTGGGATTTGATTAACTGAAGCGCGCTGGCCCTGGGTTTAGGAATAGATGCTCAGCAATCTGGCATGGATCTCATACTCATCTTTGCTTTTCACGACTCTTACTAAAAAACAAAAAAACCACACAAAACACACAAGCAAAATTTTAGACCTGATAGATGCTGTGAGTGAAGGGGCAATCCATTATTTTGCCACCGTGTGCAATTCACTCTGCCCTGCTCCAGCAAGGGCTGTTGCTACCTAAGATTGAGGTTTTCCCTTTTGCTTTTATTACGCTGTTCGGGACAGTCAGAAAAAAAAACAGCCTTTGGGTTGGAATTTTCCAAGCTTTGAGCCTGGGGGAGTGAGTTAGAAATACTGCAGAAATACCAATTTAGCAATCTGGGTTCCAGCAAGGGAAACCAAACCTTGTCACAGAGATGGGACGTCTCGGCCCCAGACAGGACCGACGTTTCTGACCTTCGTGGTCTGGGAATCCACGGGACCAATAAGGTGGCGCTGCATCGACACCCGTGCCCAGACCTATGGAAAGGTTCATTAAGTACGTGTAAGAACTTCAGAGAATACCAAAAGTTTTTAGGTTCTGTGACAACTTCTGACACTAGCTACATCATTCCAACTGCATTTTTTCCAAAATTCTTATACACCTGCTGGCTGGATCACGGGACTCCTACATGGAGGACGCACTCACTCTCCAGTCATGCTACAACCACCCGCCATGAGCCCAAAGTCAGTCTGAAGCTCTCTGCTCTATGAGGATAAAATTGCTCTGAACTGCAGCCTTGATGGAAGAGCTACTTGAATGGGCAGTTTCATTAGGGTAACGTAGGAAGTAACGATCCCATTTCAGTGAAGCCACAGGAATGGTATTCCTTGGCATCAGACTTCTTTCAGATGCCAGCGTAAAGGCTTTATGCTTTATATCCTTCAGCTGTTCCACGGGGTTCAACAGAAATGCCTTCCAACTCCAGTTTTAGATCAGAAATGTACTGTATCCAGTGTGAGCCTTGCTCTCCAAGGGAAAAATCCTTTTCCCGCTACAACTCAGAGTTTGCAATGGCCATTTACAGTGACCAGGAGCCTTGCAACCTGGATGAAGACAGCTCAGAGCTAGAGGATTTCTCTATCCCACCTTTTTGAGGCAGCTCAAATCCAAACCTCTGCACAAAGCCGTGTACTTTACAGACCCGTTTCTCTCTCCTGACCACTTTTGCCGTGGAGTTTACCTCTTCTGCAGCGCATGTCGAGCGCAGGTCAGGTACATCCTTGTGTGGTGATGGGGCCTGGGGCCTGCAGGCCAGCTGGTACTGGAACTTTATCAGCACCTGCATGCAGTCGGCAATGGAACGGCTGCAGTTCCCCAAAGCTGGGCTGCTGGAAGGAGAGCTGGAATCCGAACACCCTGAAACGATTCCTTCATTAAACACTCACGTACAGTCATTGCATAGAAGTTCTCAATGCAACAGCACAGGCACAGCGGGTGAAGGCTTTGGCCAGACAGATGGACACGAACTGCCATGAATACGGACACTGAGGTCAGTCTGCAGAAACACCGACTGCACCCCGACTGTCCCTATCCAGGACAAAAACTGCCTGCAGGTAATTCACCCCCCGCATCTGAAATGCCTTCTCCACAAGATATCCCTCTCATCACACGGCGACACAGCCCGGCAGCTTATCATGGGCTGCTACGGCCAACAAGTGCCACAGAGACGATCTCTCAGCACACATTCCCAGCTCATCCCCAGCAAAACTCTGGAGGAAAACATCCTGAGGGCCACGGAGACAGGTAGAAATGACGGTGTCCCACCTCACGTCTGAAACCCTCAGGAGAAGACTCAACTCGTCAGCAGCCACCTTTACCAAGGTCACAGGCAATCACCACAAACGAGTCAGGCCTATTGACTAGTACAGCTGCACTGGAATCCTTTGGGACTTTTCTCATCCATAAAAGCCAATCTCCAATAAACCCAGCCCCTTCTCTTGACCAAGCTTTTCCCATCAAATCAGTTTGGTTTTTATCGAGTTGAACTCTCCGTCGCTTCTGCTCCTCTCTCCGAAGGAAGGCGTGCAGTGCCCTGAGGTCTGTCACATCCTCCTCTGCGCCCATAGAATTGCACAGAGCGGGGGAAGAGTGGCAATGAGACCTTAACCCACTGCTTTCCACTGGCCCAGCGCTACTGGGGGACGGTGACCTGCTGGGAGAGGAGCTGGGGCTGGAAACCTTGGGCAAAGGAAAACGGTTGTGTCATAGAAGGCAGACAGAATTCCACCTTGATTTCTAAATGACATGAACATAAAAGACTCTTGTTTGGGGTCTGGGTTGCGTCTTTTTGGTCTCCTTTGCACTTACATTTTGATTGCTTGGTTTTGCCTTGTTCTGAAACAAACCAGCTGCTCTAAACGGAAGGAAGCAGCACTAGGGAAGAAGGACAAATCCCCATACGACAAATTTAGATCCGCTTTGCAAAAGGAACAAACACACACATACAACTCTCCGCTGGCTACTTCTCCCCTTCAGCAGCACAGGGTACCAAACAAAGACCGAAACTGCACCCTCAGGAGCTGTCCTGGTCCTTACCTGACTGGAGCTGCTGCTTGGGGAATAGGTTCCAGCAGGGCTGGAAGTGCCGCTGCTTGACAGAGCCTGTCCTTGGGGGCTGTGCCCCAGGACACAACCGGTACCAAACTGTGGGTGGGTGCGAGGGCAGCGGGACGGGCTGTAACTCAGCACACTCTGGCCCCGGGGCCGGGGAGAAGGTGCCAGAAAGGAAAACCAGAATGAGCATTGCGGATGCAGCAGCCCCAAACTCTCCTCCCCGCTTTAGACGCACACACAACGCTAGCTTAAGGCGATTTAGAAAAGATGCTAGAAGGGATGCTAGAAAAATCTGGCCCCCACAGAACTTGGCAGTCAAGCCACTGACAGAAAAAAAAGAGAAGACTGAGACACAGGACCACAACTCAGCACGAATCCTGCAGCTTCAGATTTCAGTTCAGTGTTACCAGGCACCTTGCGTAACCCAGGAGGGTTCTCTATTCCATCACCTATTTCATCAGCTCCTCCACCTGCCTACTCTGTGCATCTTGAAGTGTTGAATGTCTCAACTGATCTGTGCAAATAAACATGGGAGATGATCAAACCTTGGTGTTACAGCATTACAACCGTCTGCTCCCCATTGCCTGGGGCAGACGAGCAGAATGCAATACTACCGTGCCAGCACTTCGCTTTTGGTATATTTGCCTTGTCAGGTTCTTTTTAGAACTTTGTTTTGATCTTCAAAAGCTTTCTGAGTGACCACTCTCTAGGCTCATTTCAGACTTCACACGAAGGTCTGTCTGTCCCTCTCCTTTGGTTCTCCTTACCCAGCATAACAGTAGTAGGACATCAAAATTAGATATGAACCTGCGCTCTCTGCCCGGCTCCTAGTTCCATGGACAAGTCACAAATTCCTTGCCCAACCTCACAGGGTTCAAGTCCCTCCCTGTCCTGCAGCCGCCGCTCTCATCCTGCCCTTTCCCACCCTCTGTGTTTGTTTCCCCTCCAGTTCTCCCACAAACACTCATCAAATTATCACTTGATGCGGTGAATTTTAATACGCTGCGGGTAATTCAGTTTACTGCTCCTGTCAGAGGAGGCGATTCAGAACTTGCTTTGCTAGAGAATCCTGCCCTTGAGACAGACACCATCTTGAAACAAGCAAAAAAAAAAAAAAGAATTGCCAGAGATATTGAGTGCACCCACCTGCATTCTGCAACCCCAGCAGGGTCTGCTGGCCAGGACTCGCAACCAGGCTGGTCGGTGCCACTGTGTATTTGAAGTACACGCAGAAATCAAAGGCAGCGTTCAGGATGAACAGAGATGCGAGTGGTGTGAGTTCTAGAAGAAACAGAGAAGTTTTTACTGTAGCTTGAGCACAGGGAATAACCAAAGCGTCTTGTTTGCAAAAACGGGCATATGCCCATTAAAAACAGGTCTAATTATTAGTGCTGTCAGTAAGTACCAATTTGAGCAATAGCCAAGATTTCTTCACCTTTGTATGCCAGAACCCTTGGAGACAATTTTCCTTTCTATATTGACATTAACTGATACTGCTAAAATGGAATTTTTGAAGATGGACAGTCATTTTCAAATCCACTACTGTGAAGTTTCACAGTATTTCTCAAAAACCAGCTTCTGTCAAATCATCTGTCATTCATCTCATGATTTTTCTCCTCCTCTTGCTTCATCCTCTAACCATATTTGATACAGCTGGCTTAGAGTCTGCTCCTCCAAACCAAAATTGAAATCTTGTGAAATGCCATCCATGCCCACGGGACAACAGAGCTGGAAAATCTGCCGTGTTCCCCAAAGCCTTCCTCTACATGGTCAACAGATTTAATGCACCAAGTAAGTTCTTCCTGTCTAAGAAAACTGTTAACACTCCTCACCTGTCATTAACACGGATGAAATTCCAAGTTTCAAGGGAGGCAGCAGAAAGCAAACTAAAGCTTTGGTTTAAATTTAAAACAAAAAAAACTTTTTTTTTTTTTTTTTAAAAAAAAAAAAAAAGCGCTTGTTTAAAGACTGCTCTCCAGCAATCAAACTGACAAGTGAAAAAAAAGAAGAGAACCCCAAACACTAATTTAAATGCTGCAGCAACTCACCAAGATGCCAGATTGGCCAGCATGTGATGTTGTAATATGAGCTGATGAGATTTTCAGTCCTGAAAAGAAAAGAAACAAAAGAAGTTATCATTTTGCAACTACTCAGTCCCAGGAAATATTTAGGGAGATACGAAGGAGGAGGCTTTGCTTCTCTGACTCAGGTGTGACAATTAACACACATTTCAGTATATATCATGCCTGCGAGAGACAGATTAAGGAGTGTCCAGGCCAAGAGCCCTTTCCGGGCTTCCATCTCCTTCCTCATCTTGACGGCCCTGTCGATGACGGAAGTTGCTGTTTCTGGTGCCATGATCTTTAACAACAAACACAGAGAAATGCCAGAATTTGACAGCTTTTATACAGTAAGACCCTCAGTCAGCACAAGATTCAAGAAAAAAAAAAAAAAAAAAGCAGTAATCCAAAACAGACTACGTGAATGGACTTTACCTTTAGCCAGAGTCATGTTTAGCATCTTTAAAAAAACAAACTAACCAACCACAGATTCCTTTTACCAGTAAAAACAGGTAATACTGCTTTGATGAACACTCCTGTCAGCACTGCCACCTCATTACTGAGGAACAGCATTCACCTTCTCCAGTGAGGTGCAGATAAGAGGACAGAAACAGACTCCAACCTCCGTTTTGAAAAACAACATCCTTCAGCAGCCAGAGGCAAAGCTCCTGCCTCCTCCAGGCAAAGGGAGCCAGAGGAAGGAAAGGCCTTGCACAGGTCTGCAGTTTTTCTACTGAAAAATCCCACTCGTTTCAGTTGGAAACAGAGGATTTTCAGACTGTACAGCCACATGCTGGGCGTTCGGTACATCTAAAAGTTAATACCAGATATGAAAGAAATAACCCTGGTGACTTTTTCTTCTAGTCCTGTCACCAAAATATGCTGCTGTTCCTTCCTGCCACTCACTTGAAAGCTTGTCACATAGTTCCTCACTAGAGGGGAACATAAATAATTTGCTTTCTGGGACAAATACTTCTCGTATACATCACTACCTCCGTAATGGTACAACGATTCAACGGTGAACTGGTGAACATCAGGGTTACTGGGAGAATTCTACAAGAACGCGTTGTCTGGCAGCTTTCTTGACAGGTTCTTCACACAGTTTCAGCCCCAAGACCTCCCTTCCCACACTGACAAAAGGAGCGACCCAAGCAGAGACCCCCTCCCCATCCTCACGCTCCCAACCTCTCTCCTGAACCACATCCTCCTGCAGAAGCTGCACTCCCGGGGCACTGAACCCGAAGGCACACTGGATCCTGTTCTACTCGCAGAGGAGGGCTGTCTGGGGGGGTTTCCCCTCCAGATTGAACTATGTCCTCCCATGTCCCTGCCCTCTGCTGCTCAGGACTGAGGGGAGGCCTTGCCCCGACAGCCCGGCAGGCGCTGACCCCAGGGCCACACAGGGAGGTCCCCCACACCTCCCCTTGCCCCAAACCCCCCAGCTCCCCCCCCCCGCCACCCCTCTGCCACAC